GGTTAATATTCCTTACTGTTGCGTATTCATAAAACAAATCGACTTCCTCACAAACGCTTTCGCACTAAGCGCTTCATTTGGATAGATTTGATTGGAGTTTGATTATCCAACCACTCAGCTCGGCAACTAAATTATCTGGCAGTCTTTACTATTTCACGACAGAAGTATTCAAAAGATATCAAGTTGCTGTTTTATACTTAGATTTTGCAGATTTGCTCTGGTGTGTTTTTTAAAAAAACCACTTTTTTTGTTCACGGCAAAATGTACTTTATTTCCCTAAAGTAGACATCTTTTGAAACTTATTTGTTTGTTAAGTTTTTAGGTGTTAAATATTTCTTGCACAAGGAATCTGATACTTTAATTTTTCAAAAAAGTATAATCTTTGAGATAAATAAGATAGGAGATAAATTATAATAGTAGTGAAAATATCGAAATGAATATTATTTATCTTTCAGCGCATGAATAAAAACTTTTTAAGCTTCGTATGGTTTTGTGGATGTGCCAACTATTAAAATATGAAAAACACAATAGAATTAGTAACTTGGTGGATGGCAGTAACGTCCATAATTAAAGTCATCCATTACAAAGAAATAATAGCCATTATCAAGTTCTGGTGGCCGAATATTGTTATATTACTAGTAGCCAATATGCTTCCCAAAACTCATTTTCACGACAGAATTAACAAGTGCAGTGAATTTATCATAGCTAATAGCATCAATAACTTTTTGCATTATTGTTGATGATTCCGATGCCTCGAATTTGATGGTAATCTGGTGAGCTATCTAGTAATTTGTTCGCACTGTATAACACATTTTCAAAACATTGATGGAAAATAGATATCGGAGTCCCTTTTACGATAAAATACACTTAATATGTCCCCCGGAGAAATCCAATATCAACATTTATGATGGTAGTTTGACAGGTGGTTTTGATTCATTTAATTACATTTCCGACATGTTTAGGAAGCTATTGCAAAATTTCAAAGCGATGATTCTAAACTACTACATCATTCTGCGGAAGAGATCGCAAGAAATTAGAAAAAACGGCAAATTTATAAGTTGTCCACATAATTATCGCTTTTGTTTTTTAGTTGGACTCAACCAATCATGCATTTTCGAATTATCACCAGATTTACTGAACTTTACGCCAATCAGACTATTTAGCGGGGATACCGGACTAAACTAAAAAAGATCTTGTTTGATCATTTATAACAGTGGATTTTATGATTGATTTCCAGCAATAGTTCACAAAATTGTGTGGAAGTTTAAGCCAATGGAAAAGTAAAATTCTAAAAGAAACTGAGTAATCATGATGAATTGTAGGGAGTAAGCGGAAATAGCTTCGCATATATCTTATTTCTTTTAATCACAAGACTTACGATGATGCCGATGAATGTGGCTCTAGTTGTTTCTTAACGCTGTGATAAGCACTGTTGGAAATGTCATTTATATCACTGATGTTTTTTCTAATGAATGTATTCGTTTTATGGACGTTGAATTTACCGTTTTTAATATTGTCGATGAATTTTCTCTCAAAAACGATAGTTGAGAATGAATCATGGTCATCGAAGTCATCGAAGTCGTCGGAATCGTCAGTTTAGCGGTCCTGAAAGACGCAAACACGAAAGTACCTCAAAGAAACTGTCACAAAATGATATGCAGTCTCACAGAGTTTATATTCTATAGCTTCTATTGGCACGAGAGCGGTATAGAATGACTTGAACGATTGATGGTTGCATAATGTAGTCACGCCATAATTTCAGTTCTATGTAAAGAAAAAAAAAAAATTAAAAGATATAAAATTTGTGTTGTGCGAGAGAATATTCGTGATTTACAAATTGAGTGTAGAAAAAAAAGTGTTTGTCGAAACTGTTGACATGGAAGAAGAGATTGTTATCGAAGGTATAGTTATTGTTGTTGTTGGTGTTGTCATCGATGTTGTTGCTGTTTTTGTATATGTAGTCGTTGAAGTTCTACAAACAGTCATCATTATCAAAAAATTATTAATTCATTTAGAATAGGAAAATATTCCTTTCATTTGAAACCAAACTAAACATTAAAATAAGATCCAAACCATCTACAACCTTCCTATTATGAGATTAAGAATTCTCAGTTTAGTTACAATAATTTACGGAATAAAAGGTCAATAAAACAATTATACGAGGAATTGAAAAGCTAGGAAAACTAATAACTTTAACAGCTTTACACCCTAGCCGTACACTTACTGATATGGATTATTGGGTGTATGTTGCATTGATATAATTACAATAACAATTGCAAATAATATAACGAAGATCAGCATTGAATTGATATAAAATCGTCGTTGCCTTCTCGTCAAATTCCACCACCAAATTTTAAACTTTAAAGTTAACGAATTGTTATAAATTTCTGCGAATCTGCAAAGATATTTGGAAGTTCTTTAGATCGAGTAAAAATTTCATTTTAGTAATTTAGAAGTAAAAATTCAAAGAGTAATCAGTAGATAAAAAACTTAGCAACCTAACAGAAAAGTAATACTAAGTAACGATTCAGGAGAGTAGTTCACTAATAGAGACAAGCTGCTGAAAAATCTCTTCGTCACTGCTAGAAATAAGTTTAAAAAATAAGTTGAAACTTCTTTTTTTTCGTCTGCTTACCTACTTGAAGAAGAGGTAACATTTTCATAGTCAGACATTTCAATTGTTTCATTTCCACGTATTGGTGGAATCATCGTTTCTTTGCTAAATAAACAATAAACGTTGGACCTTTTTGAACCATTTTCAATACAGTGTTAAGAAATCAATCAGTTGCGGGCACATATTACAAATTGTGTGTCACGTAGTATGGACCATTGAAATAAGTGTTGCTTATCCGTAAACTTCCAAAACGCCTCACCTGCTCCAGTTTTATACTTCCTCCTGTGTCAACAAACTAAGCTAATGTTAGCAATGATCAGACTTGGAAAAACAAAGACTTGTACTAAATGAAATGATACCAGAATTGCACCAAACAGAATTAAAATCAATTGAAATGAACTGAACTGTGCATTTTATACTGCCAAATTTAGCTTATTCACGATCTTTCATCCATTTAAAAGCATTAATTTTGAATAATTTTCATGATGAACAAAATAAAATTCCGTTATTTAACAGAATGTTGTATAAATGTATGGTATAACAATCTTAATAGAATTCGTACTTGACCTTTAGTGATGAGAAATGTAAAATCTCAAAGTGAGAGGTATTTTCACTATCCCTTTTTTGACGTATTTCAATTTACAACAAAATTTCACTTCGAAATTTGAAGAAGGAAACAAAGACAAATCCATAAGTGATGAATTTATTTAAAAAGAACATAAAGATGAATTTTAAGTATGGATTGAAAAACACTGTACAAAGAGAATAGCACCCTGCTTGCCATACTGATAACGGTGCCACCCCAAAAATGAGACATTCATACTGTTTGTGTTTACCATAAGATGATGAGTGAATACTTCCATTGAAATTTAAACGACATGCTAAAACATGCTAGAAGAGGTAGAAAAAATATGCCGGCTTCTCCTGCTTTCTTCCTTTCATTCTGAGATTGAGAAACCTCAATCTGAAACTTTCTTAATCCTTTTCCCTAAATCAATGTTTGGAAGGTGTACCTTGAAGATATCATTCTTCATTCTTATTGTAATTTCAAGCCACTTTGATCTAACAACTCCGAAGATCTAATAACTCAACTTCATCCATCAGATCTGAAAAGCATTGATGATTAAATACACATTGCCGGTGTAGAAAATTACCAAATGATACATGATAAGCTTAAAAACAAACAGAAAAACGGAGCTGGAAAAATTGGGCACTATTAGTATTATGCACCATCGGTTCACATCAAATAACTGTTCGGAGGGAAGTGATATTATTCTTGTGAAGAAATTCAGCTGACAACAGAAATTATGGTAAAAACAGAGTATGAAGCAAGAGAATAGCGTTTTAAAGTTATATATGAGAATATACAATGCAAATAAATAGAAATAATTGGTGAATAGTTCGCAAAACTGAGAACAAAACGATTTGTGCTGAAGCAGTTGACAGTAATCAAAATGTTGAAATCCACTTCTTCAACTATAGAAAAATATACCACTAAAAAAATCGCTAAACAGAATGTGTTTCAAAACAGTCATCCCTGAATGGAAAGAGCTGCAAAATTTCATTTGGAAAAAATTTAAATCCGAAAAAATCAAATTGTTATTATCACAGTCAATGTCATACTTCGATAGTTGAACTGAGCATTTTAATTGCCTAAGAAAAAGAAGCACACTGAAATTGTTAGAGAAATGGTATCAATGCGACACTGTACTTCCTTGCTAATTCTCATTTCTGAAACGGTACTAAGCTATTTATAGAGAACAGTATACAACTAGAACTGAACTGAGTCTTATTTATGATATGATTAAAGATGAGTTAAATGTTTAGAAGCAGTAAACCTTATACAGAAAAAAAAAAAAAAGAGAGAAGACAAAGAAAATATATAAAATAAATTTGTTGCAATATTGCTTGCAAGGAATAAACGATGAAGAAAACCGATACACACAGATCAGTTATTTGCTTCTCTTTTTATTGGAATTTTGAAAAACGAAAAAAATGACATAGCAATAAATCCCTTAACAGTTCTATTTATTTCTATCAAACCAAGAAATTTTACGGATTAACAAATAGCTTTGATGTTATAAATAGTCATCAAATAAAACTCACTGATAATTTCAGAGGATATGTCCTTCACTATAAATTTACAGTAACAGCAGTAATTGATGATTTATACAACAGCAAGAAGGAAGGATATTGTTGGAAAAACGTTTCCAGATTGAAGATCGGATCATAAATTCATATTTGCAAAGAGAAAGATTCGAAAATTCAGTGCACCTCTTAAAAAACCACAAAATACTCAAACATATCCGTTGCTCAGCATTCCCTACATGATTCCACTTAGTTATCTTTAACTTTGCATTCCAAACACTTTCAAAATCTGTTTTATTATCATCGCATAAATCTGATCCTAAGACACATCTACAGCCTAGCAATCTGAAACCAGAATAATGAAAAAACAAAAAAGTCCTTCCCAAAAAACAAAAAATGCCAGCTAAAAATCACCAGAATATATTATCTCCAACATGTTGGACCTGAACACCGATAAATTCGAAAAGTTTTCCCTAAAACCTTCATTACTTGATAACAAATAACATTTGCGGAGAACAACAGGGAAAACAAACAACGACGTCAACTAGGTAAATTTGTAACGAGTTATTTTGTTGATCACCAATTCATTATAAAATTTCCATTGCCAAGAACCCAAGACTTTATGTGTCACCGATAAGACCCGTCACTCATTCTTCAGATTTCTTGCACACTAGCAAATGTTAACGCAAAAACCATAATTGTCTTGAAAAATGAAAACAATAAAATCACCTTAGTAATGTGTTACTTCCAACGATGATGAGTGTGGTAAAAGAGAAATGTAAACAGCTGAAGGCACAGCATAGGTTGTTTATTTACAAGATATAAACGCTGCTCAACAGTTATTATATCAAAAGACGCACAAAACAATGAACGGTATCAATGACAGCGAAAATGAGTGGGAGCATGAAAAATAAGATAGGTTTTATAGCTTTTAGGAAAAACCGAAATATGTATTTTTCTGTAACGCAAACAAAATAAGAGAAATAAGAATGAGATATTCATATTTAACATGTAATTGAATTGATGCACTCCAACTATCATAAGTTTCACTTGCAACAAAAAAAATTTCAGAAGCACTACATTCAACTCCTTACAATAGAGAAAGAGAAAGAAAAAAATCAAACGAAAATTAAAAAAATTTCCCTAATATCCACAGCTGCAACTTTACCCGAATAAGAGGATATAGTTCATCCGGACTAGGATTTTCCGTTTTGATCAACATATGGTCATTTAACAGAATCGCGATTTCTCGCAAAAAAAAAGAAAAAAGCGACTTGCCTTTGTGTTTTCACTACTTTCAGAATTTTTTTATAAAAATTAGAGGCAAATTGTACAAAACTAGTCCTAATTAAAAAGTGGGGCTCTTCGATGCAAAAAGTCAATAAATCCAAATAAATAACTCTCGCAATACATTGTTCCTCGCCTACTTCTTTATATTTTTCTTTTCCTGTTCTTTGAAGGAATATATTCTCTAGAAATACTTGGCATGAGACAGGTAATCAAGCAGTACATGTGAATCACACACGCTGTCTAAATTTGGAAATTGTTTCCAAAACAATCTCCCGTCCACCAAAACTTCCTCAGAAGCTAAAACCACAGATAAAAAAGTTGCAAATGATAAAGAGCTCCAATTTCGCTGTCAAATTTGGTCACCCATCGCAACCTTATTTGTCTGCAAATAAAAAGTATGAATTTCAAATTATGATCAATAAATTGTAAAAATTTCTAGCCTTGCGATGGGAGAAAGAACTCAATTCCAAGTGTAGATGTTCAGACTACACTTTTTTCGGCTTTTATTCCCAGGGCACTACCTTCGATGACATATCAATGAATAGCGAAGCTGTCTCAACTCCATATATTTTGGTTAAATAGTAATTATTGGAATCAAAAAGAAAGAAGAGTGTTTCTAGAGAAGGTACGTTATTAGATGTACAATCGAGATAATAAATCTTATGCAATAGTATGAGGAATGATATATTTCATACTTTTTCAGTCTAAAAGCAATAAAATGTGGCTTTGAAAATACTGAAATTGCATCCCTACAGAATTTTCTGAAAAAAAATGATAGCAAATGCACATTTACCTGCACTATGCCAATAATCATACCAAAAAGGCCAATTGCAGAAGCAAATATTTCAATAATTAAAACTTTTGTGAATAAAGCCGGATTTGCAGCATCTGCCAAGGCTGCACCGCTGCCCACAATGCCTATAATTTTTAAGTTTGAAATTTCCGTACCAAAGAAATGTGAAAGGACTTCATAAACTCAAACACCATTTACTCAGAAATTTTCGGGGACCATTTTAAGTGACAATAAACATTGCGTAGATGGTGAATTTCAATACAGCTATGACTATGTGTGCATCTAATTTAATCCTCCTACTGTTACTGAAATGTAATTGTATGCCGAAATACAAGCTTTTAAAAACATAAATATGGAAATTTAATCACGTAAAAGTAAAACCAGCCTATGGATAGGCCACACACAAAATTGCTGAAACCAACAGTAAGTCCACCACCGAAAATCATGTACCCACTAGCGATATTTTTGGACAGCACCACATCTGACGCAATAGCTCGATTGAATCCCTAAAAATTTGATATTTATAATTAAAAATCCGTTCTACGACTACCAAAATCAACGTAGAGACTGTGGTAAACAATGTAATGTGCTGGTTGTCAGTTTTCAGTGCAAAAACAAGATTCATTACAAGCCATGCATTATTACTTGACTTCAGGAATGTGCGGCCATATTTATGCATAAAACTGGCTCAAAATTTCAAACTTCAACTGCAATTGCAAAAAGTTAGCGTATTCTTGGTGGAAATAATCCTATCGCCTCTAATTCAGAAGCCGTGTTTGCCAAGCGCATAGTATTAAATTTGACTTTTGATTTCATGTAGTCATTGAAGAAATGAATAACAAGAGCACAGAGAAAAATGAAAAAAGGAAGAAGGACAGAAGAACGGCAAACTTTTTGCACAGGGACCTATAGTTTAGGTGTGTTCACTCGTCCAGCTTTGAAGTTAAAAAACTTACATGGATTTTACCAAGGAATACAAATGCCATTATGATGCCGAAAATAGCAACAGCCTCACAGAATATGATTGAAACTAAGTTTTTAGTTCGGATTCGAGGCGCTTTCACACCACCGCCCAAAATTGATACTCCTGTCGTAAATATTCCCCTGAAAAAAGTTTCTTGAAAGACAAAAAGTGTAGAATTGGTTAGAGAGTTCAGACTACTTCGGATAAATGAACTTTTACAATCACTAAAGATAAAGATGAAATACCATCCAGCTCCCAAAACAGATAAAGACAAGGCGCAAGCAATGCCCAAAGCTGCCCACATATGCGGTGATGTGGCTGTCAGGAACCAGCCAATGTCAAAGCGATATCCTTGCTCAGTAAACATGAAGAAGAATGCTGAAAGATAACAAAATGTAAATCAATCATTCGGCTTACATGATCCACAAGTCAGGCTCAGTTACTAACTCTTAGATGACTCCTAATTAGGTCATCACTGGAAACTCTTTTATTTATATAATGACATATTGACACTTGCTACTTTGACCCTTTCAGTTTGATTTTTAATTTCATTTTTTTGTTTTTTTATACGGCATCTTTCTCTCAGTTGCTGTATTTTAATGTCTTATTACTGTCCACAAAGTAAACTGATATGCATGACTCACAATGAATTACCTTAAATACTTTTATTTATCCGTTTCTCGGAAGAAGTCGTGATTTTTCTGAGAACAAGAGATAACATAAATTGCTATATTTTGCGCGCATTGAACTCATCATTTTAAATAACGACAATGAAAAGATTATTCTTATATCAGAAAATGGGGTAAATGTCTATAATGCAACAGAACTTACCAGTGCCAATAAAAACAAAAGATGCTAATACCAAGACGACATAGAACGTCTTCAGCATAGTCGACATTGTTGCTTCTATTTCAGTAAACGGGCCTGTTCGGCCACACGTGGAACACACCCGAAAAAATGGGGTGATTTTCAAGTGAATCAACAAAACAGTATTTAGACAGAATATGTTCCCCTCTTATAACAACTAGATAATTTTTACCGACCTTGTACAAAGTTTTTCCAACCGAAGTTCGCAAAGCACTTGGGTTGGACATCCAGAAGTACACAAAAAGTTACCAGAAAAGTCACTGATATATTTCAATTACATTCTAACACCAGTCTGTTAAATGTTAACAGTCCTGTCCATCCATCCGCTTCCTATGCATCCAACTAACTCAAAATACCTATCCATCTCTTGTTTACCCAATCACCTAACCCAATACCGCCCACCCAAATACTTGACCTCACATTACCAAACACACCTCACCACCGATTCTTCCATCATTCAATGCGGTTTGAGACGAAAGATCAGGCATAGAACCCGTTAAATTTGGTCCTGCAACCCAGTGAAACATTCATCCTTTTGAGCAGGGATGATCAATATGCACACAACACATAAGGTACTAAACTTGAACTCGAACCTTTCCTTCACATCCGTAATTCTTTATTCCTTAATCATATGTTGTCAAGGAGTGAAACAAATAATGGAGTGACTGCTAAGTCGAATTTTAGCAATTCTGTCAAGAATGTGGAGCTAATATCCGGAATAAAAAGTCGTCCGGAAGTCTTCAGGGCAGAATCTCACCCCTTAGTTATTTTGTATTGCTCCGCTTGGAGACACCATCTTAAATACTTTCTGCCGTCTCCCTTCTGACCCCACCCGTTGCATTGCGACCACCCTTACACGTCGTTGCATGCAGCGAGTGTTGCGTTCCCAGTGGTTGCAATAATGAGTTGGGACGGTTGTAAGAGGTCAGAGGGGGTGGCAAGATGATGCGGTGGTTAGAGGAGCGCAAAGTATGAGATTTATTAGCGAAGACTGTATAATGGGATGAGCGGTATTTGAGAGAATATTGTGATTAATAACAATGTATTTGAGAAATAGTTATGTAACAACGACCGGGAAGTATTCCACGGAAAGAATGCGAAAAATAGTGACTGCTGACTTGCAGATATCATTATTTTGTTCAGCTGCGCAATTTTGAACTTCTCTCAGTTTAGACATGGAGGAAAACTGGATATTTCAAAAGATTTGCTGGGGGAATATACAGTTGAATGAATGTAACAACAGTAAAAAAATTCACTCAATTTACAAAAATGAAGTGAATAACGACTGATATACTAGAAGGTATGAGACTTGATTTCAGGAATCAGACTGAAACGTCACCCCTAATTTTCCTGTCAGTATGGCCGATGAAATAGCTCGCGTACAACAGTATGAGTATCGACAGGTAGCTTTCATATATTTTATATTCTTTACAGTTGGTAAGGAACCAAGCAGTGTCGGTAGTTGCAACTCTCTGATTTTGATCAATGTAACTATGTTAGTGTAATACCATGATTTGATTGTGTTAAATATAGGGGTTAACAGATCACATAACCAGATCTTTATTTTTCTATAGATTTCACATACTTGAACATATACATTAGATGTTTATCATTTCAGAACAGTAATCTTGTGCTGCAAGTCGATTTTAACTTCACAGATCGTCGTGGTCGCGATGAACCTACCGGTGAGGTTATGCCACTCACTAAGGAAGTCTTAGCTGGTGTTAAGATGGGCGACAAGTATCAGCGAGCCAAAGCACCCGCATTTGGAACCAAAAAAGCAAGAAAGTAAGTTATTGTAAATCATAATTATTAATTATTATAAATCATAACAAACAAAAAGAATTATTAATACGTTGTCGATGAGCTCTTAACCCAGTCAGTTTCTAACAATAAATGGATTAACTGAGAAAGAAAATGTCCTGCCGATGATTCTATAACTTAGCTTAGTTATCATCAGAAAGTCCATTTGAAACGAATGAAATTTGAATTTAAACCGTATAATGATTTGTTTTTGCAGTTCATTATTTTTGCAATTCGAAATCTTAGGCCCATGATTTGTTGTTAACGTTTTAAAATTGTCATAATTTGGTTCTCCCTCACAGTTTCATTTGTAGAAAAAAGCGGGCTGATTCAAGTGTCACCGGGAACAGTACGACATCCCACACTCTGCTAGGAGATTCAAACACAGAACTGATGGGTTTGTACAAGCCAAGAACGCAAGAAACAAGACAGACCTATGAAGCAGTATTAGCTTATATACAAGATGCTATTGGAGATCAGGTAGTTCCGGTTTGAAAACTTTAAATCCTAAAAGTTGTTGCAGAGAGTGTTTTCAGAGCTTTGAAGACAGCTTGATTGTTGTACTGCGAATTTGTATTTTTGTGTAGTTGCAGCTAAAACTAATTCCATTAATGTACTGAAAAAACTATTTCTTTCCATAAGGTTTTCAACTTGAGAAACTTTATTTTCGAATAACTTTTTCATTTATTAATGCTCATTTTTTTATTTTCATAATTAAAGTGTATGCCTTGTTCTTAGCCACGTGATATTCTGTGTGGTGCAGCTGATGAAGTTCTGGTAGTTTTAAAATCAGATAAAATACGTGAAAAGGATCGCAAAAAGGAAGTGGAGCTTCTTCTTGGATTGCTGACGGATGAAAGAATTGCTGTGTTGACCAATCTCGCCAAGAAAATAACGGATTTTTCAGTTGATGACGAGAAAGGGAAATTTGACAATGCGAGTTTTTCTTTAATTCAACCATAAGAATAACTTTATTATGCTAGGCATTCTGGTCGAAATCATTTTATCAAGATTTTCATTATAAGAGCGTCACCGGATGAATTTTCATGTTGCAAAAACTTGATAATCTTTGTGAGTTTTAATCAATTTTTTTCAGCAAGATGAAATAGATGAAACAATCGGTGTCAATGTACAGTTCGATGATTCTGATGAAGAAGCTGAGGGCGACGAAGGTATGGAGGAAGAAGTGAAGGAAGAAGGATCAGGTGGGGAAGATGAAGGAGGCGTTGAAGCTGTTTTTGAAGAAACACTTAAAGCGCGATATATTGATGAGGATGATGAGGTTTTTTTGGAGTTTTTGAATCTGTACTTTTATTTATTTCATGCTATAAATCCTTTCGAATATTTTCAAGTAATTGAATTCTATAATTGTTTTGTCACTTTCGAAAGACTTTTCAGCACATCATTCTTAAAGCCGATATATCCTAGAAATCAGGATCAATCTATGTTTGCATTTGTGATTATGCAAATGAATGCTTACATGACTATACATAGGCTTTTAGTAAGGAAGGGCTTACGTACTTGTTCTCGAACATTGCACTGAATTCATCTAGGGCTTTGTTACGCATAATCAAAACATTTGTTGAAATGGAAGTTATCAAATGAGGAAAAGGTGAGAGGTAGTTTACTTATCTAAATGCTTCAGACGCTTTATTACAGAATACTAGTGTTGAGCGTAAAGGAAATTTGCATGCTCGCGATATAGATGCGCATTGGATTCAGCGGTCACTCTCCAAATTCTACAAAGATCCAATTGTGGCACAGCAGAAAGTTAATGAAGTGCTGCAAGTTTTGAAGGTAGAACGGTTTATTTCCATGGAATAATTTTGTGTTTGAGTTAGTTTAGTACCTTATGGTCTTTCAGCATCAGCATGTCCCAATTCATAAACTTCGTTTTCAGGAGGCATCCGATGACCGTGATTGCGAGAATCAACTGGTATTACTGCTTGGTTTCGATCAGTTTGAATTTATCAAGGTGCTTCGTCAGCATCGACAAATGATTTTATACTGTACTCTTTTGAAACAGGCACAAGAAGGCAAAGAAAGAGAAAACATCGAGAAGGAAATGCTCAGCCGACCAGAGCTGCACCATATTCTCGCTGAGCTTCATGAGACAGAAAGTGCAGATACAGTTGAGGTAACTAATAGATACTGAATTTAAGCTGGAGGATTCTAATTTCAAATAAGCGAATGAATGGAAATTGCTAATTATTAACAAATTTCGCGAGTGAATAAAATTTGTTAATTACTTTAATTACAGGCTGAACGGGAAAAGCGTGCTCGGGTACAACAACAACGCAGAATAGCTGAAGCCGAAGGGGGTAATGATGAAGGAACAGCAGTGGGTAATTGGTTACAGTCACGTAAAGTGCTTGATTTGGATGATCTTGCTTTCTCACAAGGCTCACATTTAATGAGCAACAAAGTATTTTGTTCATTTTTCACATTGCTTGACTCGTTTCTTTCCTTATTTCTTTTTTGCAAAAGTACAGGTCATAAGGCCATCATTTTTTTTATACATCTCACATATGCCGTTTCAGTTATGTTCTGAAAGTTTCTTCGTTTAAGTTAAAGGTGATTTTTAATTAGAAAGTCTGTTACGAGATAAGCAAACATTCCATATTTATTATGAACCGCTTTTTTTTGAAAGTAATGCAGTCATGATTTATCAAGATATATTTATGTTAACTGGTACTGATAATTAGATTCTCTATGTAAATGATGCGTGTATTCGAGCCACCTTACATGCTATTCTAATAGATATCTCGGATGAGCTGTTATTTGATTAAGATAGGTGTAATTAAGGATAGTGAACTCAATTTTTTTTTCCCGGTGAAAACATCCACCACTTCAAATTTATTTGAAGTGATTAACTTTGAAAATATATGCTGCATTAATTTGATAATCCGCTGACATTCCAAAAACATTTAGGATTTATGCTTGTATTTGCAGCGTTGTCACTTGCCAGATGGTTCTTATCGTAAGCAGAAAAAAAGTTATGAAGAGGTTCATGTGCCTGCTCTCAAACCGAAGCCATTTGAAGAAAATGAGGTGAATTGCTCCAGAATATTATTAATCTTTGACTTCAGAAGGATCAGAATTTTCTGGTTAAAAATATTTGTTCTTCACAGTGAAGCATTTCAGAAACTGGTTGCAGTAAACGACTTACCAAAGTATGCTCAACCAGCTTTCGAAGGATTCAAAACACTTAATCGGATCCAGTCGAGACTATGTGATTCTGCTTTAAAATCCGATGAACACTTGCTTTTGTGTGCACCTACGGTTAGTAATCTTTAAAAAGAGTATGCTTCATGAATCATTTATTATCTATTCTCAGAGCAGTTCCATCTGTTCCTCAAGGTCTAGTCATATGAGTGATGCCTACTTCTAAATCAAATCTTCGGAAAATAGAGGATGAGTAGGATATTGATTTTTCAGGGCG